CTTTATTCCTAGGTGTCCTCCCACAATCGACTCGTGAACAAGGTTCATCACTTGAGTCTGGTATTCTGTTGGAACTATGATCTATGATCTATTTAACTTTCCCAGTATAACTACCTTGAAAGATCTGGTACAGCACTTCCTTTTGGTCTTCTATTCTGTAAGTCCCTTTCCCCTTTATCTTGTGCTTGCTTTCTCCTGGGTGCCATTCCAAAATTTCTGGAGTGAAAGGTCTTTCTTCTGTGCTTCCTTCAGTTCCTGTAAACCTACATTTTGGATGTCACCTTTCAGGACTTGTAGGGGCTTAATATTTTGCTTGCTTGTTTTTCTTGAGCTCTAGTTGTGACTGCAGATGCTTCATTAATTGTCTTTCTGTCTGGTTCCTTCAAACTTCTACTACCTGGCATATTTCCAATCATCAAGTCATACAAGGCTGTCTTCATACACGTGGCCTCAAAGTCTCCCATGTAGTATGGAATGTCCACTTTTATTCTTGCTGTGGGAAATTTTCTCACTGTCCCATTAATCAGCACACACAGACACACCTTGCCCATCATCTGACTGTCAGGTACTAGACTGGTTCTCACTGCTGCACTACTGCACTCAGTGCCTTGTAGGACTTCACTTTCTTGTCTCCAATATTGACTTCACTTACTGGCATGTTATGATTTGTTGGCACCTCTCGATGTTTGTCACATGCTCCAGCCACTACTGGCACTGTTGATCCATTTTGCTAACTTGAGCTGACCATCAGTCATGCACTGTTAAATCATTAAGATAGCACTTCCTTCTTCTGGTGAGTCTCACATGTTGTTTCTATTCTCTTTCTTCTGGCAGCAGTATCCTTGTTGACAGCCACTCTTTTCTTGTTTCTTGCCAGTATCATCTTTGAAATTTCTACTGTTGCTTGTTGATTAGAGACTTACGCAGTGTGCTCCATTTTATAACAACTATAGCATCTCTTCTCTCTTTCATCCATTGAGGTATTTTCACCTTTGGTGGCATCTTGCTTCTGGTCAACCACATCTGGTTTCAACTTTAACTAATTATTCTTGGACTTGTCAGTTATACTCTCTCCATGGGCTTCTGTATACTGTACTGCCAGCTTGATCATCTTGTTCATGTCTTTTGCTTTTGGCGCTTTCTCCTTCAGGAACAGTGACACGTCAGTGGAGCAGGTGATCATGAACTTTTCACGTAGTAATAGTTCTGTTAGTCCTTCAAGACTATTTTCACACTTGGCCATGTCAGTTCATCTTGTGAAGTATCCCCGTACAGTTTCTCCAGTGTCCGGTGTGACTTCTCTGAACTTTTGATGAAAACCTTCTTCAGTAAGTTCACAGCATTTCACCAAGGTCACTTTTAACTTGTCATAGTGAATTGCATCTTCTGACATCATGCCTGCATCTACTTGTAGGTCTTTTACTGTGGGAAGTGGGCTGAGATAGACTGCCAATTCGTCTTTGTCCCAGTTCTGACTTTGGGGAAATCTTTCATATCTCTCAAAGAAAGCATTCATGTCACCTTTTTGTTCATCAAATCTAGGCAGCTTGGGTCGGCTGGCCCTGGCCCCATTGTCATTCTTGGGTCCTTCATCTTTCTGTTGGGTGAGCTTGGCAATCTCAATTTGTGCTCTCATTCTTTTTATTTCCATTCTCTCCTCTCTCACCTTTATCAATTTGTGCTGTTACGTCTCCGTTTGTTAATTAACTTTCCGTAACATCATTTCGACGAAACTTTAGCGACACAAGTCCTTACTTAATAAAACTGGTTTATTCTTTCCGAATATAACTTTACGATACACTTAATTTCAACAATCGCACTAAAACAAACGCTGTAACAATGAACGTGCTCAATAATACTCTCTGACTGCAGATCAATTACTCACTGTCTACACACACATTGTTCCGTCACATTGTCACCCTCTTATATATATACCAGACTACCCTATATCTAGTAATCTCCCAACTATTCCCGAAGGTTCTAAAGAAGTGGCGTGACACTAGTCACGTGACCTCGCTAACGCAACACTGCCCCTCCTTAGTATTGTTCGTCCCTAACAATAGCCACATACAATAAACCAATAACAATAACTTAAATAAAATGTAAAGAATTACAAACACAAAATTACAATTCAACAAAGTCTCTTAATTTTACGGGACGTATCTTCCGTACTGGTCTCCGTCTTGTTGGCTTCTGCTTCACTTGGGGGTTCATCTGCTTCATCAGGAAATGTCCTATCGTTGGTAACAGTCACATCAGTGATAGTAACTTCATCAAGAGCTTCACCATTTCCCTTCTCAAAACTGAGTAGAGTTTCTTCTTCGACGGTGGCTTCTTCATGTGGCACGTCTTCAGCAGCATCATTTGTTCTGTTT